TAAGGCCTCCTGGTGGCTTAAGTATAAAGTCTGAGTGCTGTCACCTGGATAGCCTAATTCCCATTGCAGACTTGGGAGCTGAAACACATGGCACAACAGACCTCTCCTAATTCATTCACTGCTCCCAACAACGTACTTCAGTAATTCTGCCTTTTATGCTCCCCACTCTGTCTCTGCTAAATCTTCTCACACCACTACACCTCTGGCCTAAAACTCAGCTCTTCTATGTTAAGATAAAAAAATTTAAGATATTGAAAATTAATCAAAATGACCTACAAAAAAAAAAAAAAGAGAGAGAGAGAGAGAGACACTCCAAAACAATAAGTGTTGTCCAGGGTGTAGAGCTGTGGAGAAAAAGAACCATCATAAGATTGGATCAGAATGTAGATGTAGATTGGTCTAATATTTACAGAAAACAATGTGGAGTTTTCTCAAAATATTAAAAAAATTATCACAGGATCCAATAATTCCATTAGAATATATATACCCTGATAATGCAAAATAACTAATTTGAAGGAATATTAAACTTCTATGCTTATTGCAACATTGTTTATAATAACCAAGATATGAAAACAATCAAAATGCCCAAGGACAGATGATCAGATTTAGAAGATGCAGGATATACACACACTGGGATATTAGTTATAGATAAATTAAAAAAATGAAATCTTGCCATTTTCAACAAAATGGATAGAGTAAAATGGGATTACGCTAAGCAAAATAAGTCAGGAGGATAAAGGTAAACTTTGGAAGATTTCACTCATGTGCAATAGAGTACAATTTAAAAAATGGTAGTCATAAACAAATCTTAAAATTTCACTCAGCAATTGAGTTAGCAGAGGAATGTGAGGTGCAAAGTGTGAAGAGTTACCAATAATGGGGTATTCTACATCCCTTGCCTTTTTTTTTCCCTTGTTCTCTTTTTTTAATGAAACTAGAGCGCTGCTTACAAAAACCTGCATGCGCCTTGTACCCACTCATTACATTCCCTCTGCTCAGCCTCCCGACTCCCAGGAAACGAACATGGCAGCTGGTCAGTGGCCACCAGCACCAATGCCATGGACCACAGGCCCTGGCCTCCGACGAGCCTCGAGGAGGGCCCTCCACCTCACAATCCAGACAAGTTGGGGCTAGTGGCTGTACGGATGAGGGTGGTCTGCCACCACAGCTCTAGGGCTGCCACCAGCTGGCATGAAACAGTGCTAATGTCCCACCCACAGACCTCTCTCACTCTGGTAGTCTCTCCCCTTCTTCCCCCCACCCTACTCTTAACTCTACCCCTAGAGAGATGAGGCTCAGCTTATGTCAGCAGGGCCAGGCCTACAGGCAGTTGAACTGAGGCTCCTGTCCGTGCCTGTTGAAGCAATGAACTTGGTGTGGAGCATACATATGGAGATATGTGAACATACACACACAAGCATCCCTATGTGTGCATGTATACCCCTAAATCATATATAGTGTTATAAACCAGCACTATCATAATTTTAAAAATACAATGTTTGAGCCAAAGCAAAGTGGCATATCTCAAACTTCAACATTCAGAAAGTGGGAAATACAGTATTGTTTACTGTTGCTTAAAAATGTGTTCGATATTAAGTATTTTATTTGAGAGACATTGGTTGCAAGTGTGAATTTTTATTATACCTCCAAGAAATGTAAGAATTCCTAAACTGAGGAATCTTAACTTTTTCATCTTTTTTGAAATTTTGACAGGAGGCATGATGATAAAG